TTCCTGCGCTTTATTATTGCCGAGATAACGACACAGCCCTTCTCTTCCACCTTTATCGCCCTACTACTCCTCCTCCTTCTCCTCCGCCATTCCTCAACTCTCCTTCTTCGTCTTCGCTCCGGCATTCCCTCTTCTCTCCGTCCATTTTCTTCGGCGTTCTCTTCCACCGACAGAACGCGTTCTCGACCTCTTCGACCCGCGTCGTCTCACCGTTATACTCTCCGCCTTACCAGCCCCGTTTCTTTCTCTCCCTCCTTTTTCTCCCTCTTCTTCTCCGTATATCCTCGCAATCCATTTCTGCCCGCATCGGCATCCTCGTTCGTCGTTTCGTACTCTTATCCGGCTATCGAGAGTAGGCTAAACAACGAGCACGCGTGCGAATTACGCGTGTATTCGGCGAGCAGAGGGGAACCGCGATCGCGAGAATATCCAAAGTTATAGCGCGCGCGCATCTGCTCCGAGATTGTCGACCAACGATCGGTGTTCGACGTGTGCAGCTTGCGATCGTGTTACGGTTATCGGTTCCTGAAATGCGCTGCCGAGACAGCCGAGTAGATTAGGTAGACGCGGAATGCGTCGAACAACTTACCTGCTATACTCGATGTGGAGGCTCCGAGCCAAGCGTGGGACGATTCCAACAACTTGGCCTGAAACAGAGAAAAAGAGCAAGGTCGCGTTAGTAATTGCGTCGAGACGATCGAGGCGATCGAGAGGATCGCGCAAAGATGGAACGAGATCGGCGACGCGAGGGTGGATAACGCATCGCCATCGGGTGGTGGCGCTGTCCGAGGGTAAAAAGTCCGGCGAGGTCGGAAGATGCTCGGTCGGCAAGGGTGCGGAACGGGTTTCGTAGAATCGGGGCTCGCGTCTCTGTCGACAACTTTACTAATATGCGAGTTTTTCCGGGTCTCTATAAAGGGGTTGCGAGACGCGGCAAAAGCGCAAGACACACGCAAAGTTGGCTCATTTGAAAAGTTTTCGTCCGCGGGCCGACGCGGTTCGCGATTTCCGCAATACCGAGAGATCGGACAACGGTCCCAGCCTACCGACCATCGGCTGGACTTCTCGTATATACCGAGTCATGGCTTCCAGGAGCCAACGCCACTCGGCTGACTTTCCAAATTAATTTTTAAGGGTCGAAGGGCTTCGCTCCTCATTTGATACGCGCCTCGATCCTCTATCAAACTCGGAACCCCTTTTGCCCCTTTTTTTTTTTTTTTTCCCTCCCCGTACCCTCGCGATCGCTCTAACGCCGCTCGTTCTCCAGAATTTCGCCGCCCTTCTCTGCTCCTCTCTCTCTCGTTTCTCGAGTCGAGAATCGCCGCGAGGACGCTACCGAGAGTCAGCGTCGCGCTCTAAACTTTCCTCCGCGATAAGCCAACCATTTTTTCTTTTTTTTCTTTTCTTTCATTTTCTCTCTTTCTCCAGCCGACTGCGCCGCGATGGGATCGCTTTTCTCTTTCCTCTTTCCTTCCCTTTTCCCACCCTTCACTCTTTTCGTTCTATTTCTGTTTTTTCTCTCGAATTAACCGCTTCGAGTTCAGCTCGGAGAGAAGGAATTTCGGGTTGCTACCTTTGCGCGGTTTCGCGGCGAAGTAACATAATGAAAACGGAAATAACAACGGGGTAATAACGTAACGAGACGACAAAAGGAAAGATAGGAACGATAAAGCACATTCTATTAAGAGTTCAAATCCGACGTCCGGAGAGACATTGTCGAGACGAAACAGTCGGGACGATAATAATAATAATACTTATAATAGCGGTAGGTGCGGCTATGTACCGTGGCTGAGAACCTTGAACGAGAAGATAAGGCCCGTGATTCGTTCTACGTTCCTCCGAGATGACGGTGTCTAATTTATTCAAAACGATAGGAGCAGCGAGTATTACGACAAAAGCTGGCTAGCCGGTAGACGGCGAGTGGTAAATCTATCGTGTCTCGATACGCGCGATAGCGACGGATAAATAATTTGAAGATTTGATCGTGAAACGATAACGAGCGGTTTGGTAACACACAGGAAAAAACAGGGGGGCGTGCACGCGTCTCGAGGAAACCGCAAAACGCGCGGCGTGCATCGGTGCACTGTGACGCACACACATCGACGGGAGGGAAATCGAGTTTGCCACGGGTACAAGTTCATCGTACACACGCCGCATCCTGTCGTGCGTGCATTTTTCATCGTCTCGTGTGGCTGTCGCGGGGTGCGCCTCGAAGAATGCACGTCGCGATGCACGCGACACGCGACGCGCGAGTAGCGACGCCGCGCCGTACGCGGCCACACTACATCAACGAGAAAATTGCTCGTCGCGTTCTTCCGACTTTTTCCCCGATACCCTCCCCCGTTCACCTAGCATCGTCGTTCGGACCCTAACGTGGAATCGACGTTTTCCAGGCAAAAGAATCTCTTCCCGAGACTTCTTCGGCTCGTTACCTCCGCTCGAACGCCGTATAATTTACCGAGAAAATAGCCTTCCCTCGGGGTAAACGTTTCCCATGCGTCGCGATTCCAAGCTCCCAACCTTACCTACGTGTGTCTCGGTATAGGCATTCGTCGAACGATCACGCGGTTTAGATTCGAAAATTACGCGCGCTTTTTCCTCCTTCAACTCGGGGGACGAAAATTTCGAGACTAGCCATTTCTCTAGAAAGTTGAAACGCTTTACGCGTTCGCGAACGAGTTAGCAACGGTAACAAATGGAGGCTCGAAACTTTCCGCGCGTCTACCCGAGTAGCGTTTTCCGAATCTCGTCTTTTTATCGCGAACCAGCGGAAAGAAATTTAGCTCACCTCCGTTGGACGAGCGCGATTTACATTTTCGCAAATCGGTCCCCGAGATGGCCCGCGACGCGCCGCCATTTCTCACCGGGGTTTTCCGCGCCGCGGCGGCGGCGACGACGACGGCTAGAATGACGGAAGTCGAGCGACAGAGAAATCCAAAGGGACGATGATAAACAAAAGTCAAGAATAGATACGGACGAGCGACGAGCGGCCTAATTAAGAAAGGCTTCGAATTCCCGCTTTTCCGGACATGCTCGCGGAAAATCCTGTGAACCTTGCAGCGAAGAGAATTTACGAGGTAGTCGTCTATCGTTGCTAATTCCTGCAAATATTTGCCGGGCAAGGATATAGGCGTGGGCGAAATGAATAGGCGTCGGAAGGATGCGAGGGGAGATCGAAGGAGAGAGAGAGCGAGAGAGACGAAGATAGGGGGAGAGGGGGGTGGGAGAGAGCGCGCAAATGTATGCACGGGGATTGGAGCGAATGCGAAGGGACGAGGACGAGGCCGAGGACGAGGCCGAAGACAAGGACGAAGACTAGTCGGTGAGCAGGCTCGTTCTCTCCTTCACCGGTGCCACAGACGCTCCACAGACGCTCCACAGACGCCCCACCGACGCCGTTGACGTCGTCGAGGCTGCCGTCGACCGGCTGGAGTTTCACGCGGCAGAATGCACCGCGCCACGGCAAATTTCTAATCAGATTAGCGCGGATTAGCAAAGTTCGTTTGTTCTAATGAAATTCGTCTAAATTAACGTCGGAAGAGGGAACGCCGCCTGAGGAGGAACACCGAGAGGGAACGAGAGTCGGAGTTGAACGCCGAAGAACCATTCGCCTCTCGTTCCACCGCCCCCCTCTCTCTCTCCCTCTCTTTCATCCCTTCTTTCTCGGCGCATCACGCTCATCGTCACGGATTCCCGATTTCGCCGGGATCCTAACGAAAAACGTATATACCCTAGCGATTAACGTTTCGATCGAGCGGTTCCTCGCGTCGTCTTTGACGCTCGTGAAACGTGCACGCAGGAGGGGTGAAAATCCGGCGGAGAAAGGGAGAGAGAGGACGCGACCGCGTGGCGAACCGGCACGAACCGAGCGGCGCGACGCGGAACGGGGCGCAACGAGATAAAGAGGAAAAGAAGGAGGAGGGAGTCGGGCACGCGCGTTAATTGTCGTGGAAACGCGTAACGGCTCGCGCGAAAACACGAGGCACCTGTGAATCCCCGCGCACGTAGGCACCGCGCGCGTGTAATCTAGGACACGCGAGTCTCTCCAACTCTTTCGCACGCACGCGCTGATATTTTATTCACCGATATCGCGCTCAAACTATTCCGCCGATAGTCACCCGGTTGTCGCGCTTAACTTTCTCTCTCCCTCTCTCTCTCTCTCTCTCTCTCTCTCTGTCACCGGTCGTGCGTAACCGAACACAAACAACGCGTATTTTATTCATCGGTACACCGGACGCGTGGAAAACATCGGAATCGTGCCGTAACGTTGCGCGTCGCGTCGAATTTCGCGGAAATATCCTTCTACGAGATACGAGCGTCGAGCGTCATGGATTACCGGAACAAAGTTCAACGAGTTTGGAGAACGTCCGCGCCTCTGTGTTGTCCGAATTACTCTTTCCACGCGAACCGGCTGCGGGGTGACGTCGTACCCCCGACGTTTTCCGGATCGTGCCTCGCTTTTCGTTTTTCGTTTTTCCCGATTCTCGCGATTTTCTCCTTCGATGGCGTCTCGCCATCGTCGATGCTTCGAAAACCGGAGAACAACGCGGGCAAGTGCGCGCGCGCACGCGCAGAACGGGGATCGCTTTGGAAGCGCGTAGTTCGAATGGTTTACACGATTTAGGGATGAACATGGGACGCGGCTGGGCCGGTGCAGAGCACACAGCAGGACGCGAGGATAGAGTCCCGTTGACGCATCGAGACTCGTCATTATCGCTTAACGAATCGTCCTGTTCGATCGGAACGACGCTTTTTAGCGAGTGGCTTTATCTGTGTACGACCCGTGTGGCCAGTCGTCGTCGTTCAACGAGCAAACGTTCCTCCGTCTCTCTTCCTCTCGCCCACACCCTCTCTCTCTCTCTCTCTCTCTCCCTCTTCTCTGTTCCAACCCCCGGCCGTTTTACTCGTTTTCACGAGTCTCTTGCGCTCTTTGCCGGTCACTGCTTTTTCGTCGTTCCGTTTTATTTCGAGCGGGACTCTACAGGTAGTCACGTACGTGGCACGGTCGATGGAAGCGACCGTCCAGATAAATCCTCTCGAATAGTCGCGTGGACGCGGCGAAATATGTTGGCTTCCAGCGAAAACACCGCTCGCACCCGTTCCCAACCCCATTCCCGCCCCTCAGCCCGCCCTCTCTCCCCGCCCTCCTCCAATCCTTCCAATTTAACGCCAACTTTTTCTCCAAAACGCTCCACGCGGCCGCGCATCCGATTCCGCTTCCCCGCGACCACGACGATCGGATCGGAACGAAAGGAAAGGGACTGGGGTTTTCTTCAAAGGAATTCCGTTATCGGCCAAAAGCCGGAGAAACTCGCGCGAAACGGTTTCGTGGTCACGGAACGCGATGGCGCGTTCGAATCATCGGACCGCGTGGCTTCCTCTATACCCGGACTCCGCATCGGGGTTCCCCGGATTCTCGCGAGCCAAAGATAACGCGACTGGTCGAATCCAGTCGGTATAAATACGTCTTCCGTGTATATTATCGCGGGAAGGTTGAGTGGCCTCGCTGGTTGATTCGTGGCGCGAACCAAACGGACTCTGCGAACGGGGGGAGCAAGCAAAGACGGAAAGGTGGAAAGGAGGAATAGGCGCGATCTCGGTTAATTTCGCCCGGTGGCCGGCCTCCACCACACCACCACGGCTCGTT